GTGGTTCTGATAATACATTCCATTTAATCCTTAAAATAAAATTTAATACTAGTAAATTCTAATTCTCATTGTCACTCTCTCTCTCTCATCCCAAACCTCCCTAACTTAAAAAGTGCTCTGCTAAGAGTAAGCCCATTTTCTAAGTTCTTCATTTAGTTTGATAATCCTTATCTTGAAAACTTTCTCCATAGATATTTTCTCAATTAAACATGTCTCCTACCAATTGTTAAATGGTAACATAACATTAACAAGCATTGGAGAATAAAAAACTCTTTGATAACTTGTGGCAACTTCAACTGACAAAGGTCCAGTGATTTCAGAATCTATGCCTGTGGTACATATTGTTGTGTTTTTTTCTTTTCCTCTTCCCAGATAGTTATTTTTAATAGGCCTGAATTTTTATCATTCTTCTATGTGTTTAGAGTGTTAATGTTTTAATACTTCAGTGATATGTGTGAAAGAATTTTAAAAATTCAGTTCTAAATGCAAATTATTCTTAAATACTCTGTCTTGACTAACATCATCTAATGTTAAAATTTGGTTTTACTACCAGATTTACTACCGTTTTTAGAAAAGAGTTTAAGGCATAGATAATTTCAAATTTGCTGTACAGTGAGAGCTCTGTGATCTCTAGCCAGAACCGCTTGTAACATTTTGTTCTTCTAAATAGCCTGCAGCCAATGGTCACTTCCCACTTTTCCCAACTAAGTTAAAAAGAAATTTACTGCTTCATTTTATTTTGCATTTATCATTCAACAAATATTTACACAACCCTTGAAACAGGCCAGGTATTCATCTAAGCCCTGAAAATACAAAGATGTATAACACAAAATTTCCTACTCAGGAAGATCACATCCTCTTGATGGATATAGACAAGTAAGCAAAGAGTTAACATCCCATACTGTAACAGAGACATGAAATAGCATCTCTGGGAAACACAGGAAGAGGACACAACAGAGGAAGAAGTGATCTGGGGAGACACAGCAAGTTAACCATGGAAAAGGCCAAGAAAAAGCCCAAGTGAGAACAAAGTTGTGAGGACAAATCTGAGTAGGTGCTGATGGGGATCAAACAGGAAAGCTGGAAGACTATTCAACTGAGTCCTAGAGAATCTGGGTGAATGATCGGTTGCTTTGAATCTTCAAACTCTTTTTACAATATTATGTTCCATTTAAAACACTTTAATCATGACTGCTAGCCTACATGCAAACACATTCTTCCATGTCCCTGTGATAAATAATTCTACCCTTAGCCAAGAGCCTAGCATTCCAGAAACTTAAGCCATGATACAGAAATCCAAATTCTATTCAACACCATCTGCATAACCAGCTGTTCACCTCCCATGTTTCCTTCTTTTCTCATGTACCACATGTTCATGGGAAAAAAAAGTAGTTATGAATGAAAATGTTATCTGTGCTTTGAAGTCCTACATTTCATTACCACAAAGTCATCCACTGATATTCTCTGAAAGTGTTTATGCCACCTGGAGAAACAGATTGTATTGTCTTGGGGCAGGACTCAGGTATTTGGTAACTTTAACAATGTCTTCATACTAAGATCCTCAAAGCACATGTCAGAAAGCCAGTACATGTGCCTGGTGATTTGCTGGAATGGTTATATTCAGCAAGCCCCTTGGCAGTTGGCAGGCACTTATCAGCCCCATGTAATTTCTGAGTCAGGCTCTCTTTTTTGTCCTATGCTTCTTTTCCAAAGGATCTGAGCTCCTGTTCACACATCTATCCATTTATTCCACAAACATTTACATAATGCCTATCACATACTCAGAAGATAAGAAAACACAACAAACGTATCTTTCAAATATTGTCAATTGTTCAAGGATTGTTTATTTATTTATTTTTTTTACTCTTTTATTCCTCTTGGTCACTGAAGGTAATAAAACTACCTAATGTATAGGGCATTTTTCAATACTAAATGAAGTAGTGTAAGTCAGAGACTTACTGAAATTACAGACTCATGGGGCACCTAGCTGGCTCAGCCAGTAGGGCAGGAGCCTCTTTTTTTGTTTGTTTGTTTAATTATTTATTTTGAAAGAGGGAGGGAGAGACAGAATTCCAAGCAGGCTCTGCACTGTCAGCACAGAACCAAACACGGGGCTTAAACTGATTATGACCTGTGCCACAATCAAGATTTGGATGTTTGATTGAGCCATTCAGGTGCCCTGAGCACGAGACTCTTGATATCGAGGGCATGAGTTCAAGCCCCACATTGGGTGTAGAGATTACTAAAAATCAATCACAGACTGCCCCATAATAAGTACTCATTATGTATTTGTTATTATTATTATTATAATAATGAGAAAAAGGCAGGACTAATACATAGTCCATAAATGTTATGACTCACAACACCTTTATGAATATAACTATTTGTAAGTATTCTTACATAATTGTGCCTTGTCTATGTTGGTTACACACACACACACACTCACACACAAATTAAACAATTATCCAGTACATTAGAATGGTATTACAGCCAATGCAAATGATGCACTCTGGGGTTTTTTAATGTGTAGTTTATTAAAACAAAATCCAGTTTTCCTAGGATTATACTTATTCCTCATTTCAGTCAACCATTTTGGGAACAGAGGTATGATTTGTTGCTTTGTTGGTGATTTTTTTAAAATATAAAGTTTATTATTCCGTGGAAACACAAAGAAGACACATCAATAAACCTGTGATATATTAATTAGATAAATCCTAAAACTAACAGAAAAGTAGTCAAACTACATTGTTGAGAGAACTTTGAAAGACAAGGTTGAGTCTTATTCTGTGATTTATGCCAAGTAGACATCATGAGAGATAGGATTTAAGCCTCTCATCTCTGTTTCATTTTCTATCTGTTCCAGAACAGTACGCCTTCAAAGCAGCCTGGCATAACATATTTTGGGCATAATTCTTATTTGTTCCTTTTTTTGTCCCTGATAATTGCTGTAGAATACCTGTGCTTCAATATGATCCTCCAAAAAGTGCATTTTTCCTTTTATTTTTGATCTATTATTTCCACAAATTAAAAAAAAAAGATGATTAAAAATGTTGCTTACGGACTATGAACTTGAGGTAAAAGGAGTCACAGCCTTATTCTCTTTCCTGCTTTTATCTTAATAAAAAAAAAGATGGGAAGAATTAAAACCCTGGAAGATATTACAATGTGGAAAACTATAAACATTTTATAAGCTTGTGTATTCAAGTTATTCTTGGGAGATTCTATCACCTGTGTGGCAAGGAAGTTTTATTATAAGGGTTACATAGGACCCATTAAAATACTTTAAGTTTGTCTATTATCCAGAAACCCCAAGCAACTGGAATACTGGAATAGAATTTCTGCTTCTCATAACTTATCTATAGTGCGTTTATTGAGATTTAATTTTAAATGTCATTCATATCACAAACTGAGATTCAAAAGTTGCTGGGGATATCTGCCAAATTAATTAGAGGGAATTAGAAATTACATGGGTGTTTGCAGTTTTGTTTAAGAATGTGGGAAGTCTGTGAGTAAACGCCTAAGAGATAGAGAAGAGCAAACAGGTGTCTCTGCGGACTTAAGTTAGAGGCCTGTGGAGTGAAGGACTGAGACAGAATCTTAAGGTACAGGCTGCACTGATTAAATCCCTGGAACAAACGTGAGGAGGCTTCTACTTGTTTCTGCCTGGAACACACATCTAGTACATCAAGAATCTTCACACATCAGTGTTTTCCAGATGGGAAACAACAGTGGCCCCAATTAATCTTCAAATGTCTTAATCAGGAAAAGGTCATCATTGTGGGGCTAATGGTGTTATGGACTGAACTGTGCCTCCCCATCCCACCCTCCCCTTCCACCACCACCTCCACCACCGCCAAATTCATATGCTGAAAGCCTAACCCTCAGCACCTCAGAATGTGACTATATTTGGAGTTGGGGGTCTTTAAAGAAGTGACTAAATTCAAATAAGTCCTTTAGGGTTGGCTGTCATCCAATTGGTCTGGCATATTCAGACACATGAAAGAGACACCATGCAAAAAGCAAAGAACATGTGGGGACATAGCAAGAAGACAGACAGCCATCTGCACATCAAGGAGAGAGGCCTCAGAAGAAATCAAGCCTAGTGACGCCTGGATCTTAGACTTCCAGCCTCCGTACCTGTCAGAAAATAAATTTGTATTGTTTAAGCCACCCTTTCTGTGATATTTTGTTATGGAAGCTATAGCAAACTAATAGTAGCAGGAAGTCAAAACACACAGACTTTGACTGTAGTTGATGTACTGGTTTATAAACACCCATGAAACAAACCTTGGGGGTATTCACACATAAGTGAGAAAGAGAAAAGCCCAGGAATCCCTCAATATCTTTATTAGCAGAAATAATAAGGTCAATCTCATAGGGTTTTTGTAAGGATTAAATGAATATATATATATGTTATTAAACTATGTAGCAATACAGTGATGTATGTAAGTGTTAACTATCAGCATTATTATTATTATCATTATGTATTTGTTATTTTTATTATACTAATGTGAAAAGAGACCAGTCAAAATATGATTCAAAATTCAAAAAATTCTCAGGTGACTGAAACATAATGAAGTAAGTGTAGCTATTCAAGTTCACACCAACAGTAGGTGGACCCAAGATCTGACCTTAAGCATTACAGACCCATATATTATTGTGCTCTATAGAAACAAATTTATTTATAGTGCCAAGTAAACCAAATAGATCTCTAAATGCCAAGTAGATCACTAAACAGAAAGTGTATTTATGTTTACCAGATTTACATCAATCTAAGTGACTTCTGCAAGTGACAAATTTACAAGTAAAAGTACTTCTTTTATGACTGCAGTCTGACAAGTAGAAAATGATACTGTTTAGACAATGTATTGAAGCAATAGGCTTCTTTTTCCTAAAGAAGTATTATGTATTAATTAAGGGAAATATTTAATGATAAACATTTGATTGACATAAACAGAAATAAACAGATTTTAGAATATATTCAGAATGCTTTACCATATGCATTTTAACATTTTTCTACATTTTAAAAATTTTAAACATTTATTCAGGAAGTAGAAATATGTGAATCCTAGACTGAACAATGCCTTTATAAAGAAAGGCTGATTACATTGTTCCCATTTACAAGTTCTTTAATCACAAACCAAATCCTCCGATGTGCATGTGCTTGGACTGAGAAATACTTCCTCATTTCCTTTTAGTACAAAATTGTATATGCAGAGTGGTGGTCTGTGAAAAAGAAAAAGAGAAGAAAATAATTATTAATAAAAATAACAAAGTTTATTTTTTCTCATAAACATTAGAATATTCAATGCCTGTAATTAATTAGTTTCCCAAATGAAGGGACAAACTTATAGCATCGTTTCCATTCCATCTCACTGGGCTACACAGGGATGAAGTAGACACAGTATTTATGAGAAAGAGAAAACTCTGTGTTTCAATTTCTTCTTTCCTTGATGCTTCTTTGGAATACTTACTTTATGTAGGAGATATTTTTAGATACTGAAATAGCTGAAGCCTGAACTCAACTCTTAGTGGCCAGGCTACTTTTTCTTTTTTTTTTTTTTTTTTTTTTTTTTAATGTTTTATTTTAATGTT